TTTGTTTCGCGAAAAAAATCGTGTTTCTGGTGTACACGAATACACTACCCCTAAAGTATTTGCACTTATTTAAGTCTCACCCTGTATAAACCAATAACATTTAAATAAAAAAAATAGATATTTTTTATAGTATATTGGTGGCTCTAATTCTATAAAGGCGAATTGTAACAAATCTAACAGAACTATTTGAGAAGAAATTAAAGTAAGGTTAATTCCGTATTCTAACAATATAAAAAAATAATAGAAAACTATGTCGGATGCCTTTAATTAAAAGTAAAGAATTCTTGCTTATATAATTATATTAATTCTTTTAATTAATAGCATGAAAGTTACAAAGCACAAAAGTTCCTTAATTCCGTATCGTATAAAATGTCTTTCGGCTCGTTCTTTTAACTTCAAAGTAACTTAAATATTTAAACATTCTCGTTATAAACTTTCTACATCTTTTCTTTATAGGAGTTTTTTTAAGGTTTATTAGAAGTTTGTGTAAGTTTCTGCAGTTTTAATAAAAACATAAAATTAATCTTCTAATAAAGATCGTTAGAAGATTTTATTTTAATAAACTTAAATTATTAGTATCATTATTATTAAAACTTTAAATATAGCATATAAAATACCTCTAAAAAACTTTAATCGTCAAATAATCTGTTATTACTGAAAGCATTGTATAATTTTAATTAATATTTGTGAACAATACATATTAGATTTATGACCGTAGTACCCAAAATAAAGTGAAAAAGAGGATTTGGGAATCATACTGAAGGTAAATTGGTCATTTTGAAACTAAAAATGACAAATAAAATATTTAATAAAAATATAACACAGTATATTACAAGGTCTCCCATTTTCATGTGTTTTATGGGGGTTCTAGTTAATGATTAAAGATGCACAGATGCTACATACATTTTTGTCCCAGCTTTCTTATAGTACCAGAGCTAGCAACGTCGGAAAAAAAAGTATTTTAAGACGTCTGGCTCTTTGATATATCTTTTACTATGCTCTCTAGAACAGCATGCGACCCGTCTGGCTGCCGCACAATAGTCATTTTTTGAAATCTAGGTGGATAAAAATCCGGGTTCCTTAGGTGTACTAATTTATATTTGTTTATGTATATTGTAAAGATAAGAACTCATACTAAGAAAATATGCACAAACAGAAATGCTATATTAGTTGATGTTTGATAAAAAAAATATTGTATTGAGCAGTTTAAAACAGGTATGGACTGCTTTGCAAATCCGCGCAGTAATAAAGTGAATTTTATTGACTTGTGTTCGCTAGTTCAAAAGATTTCAAAAATTTTAAAACATGGAAGGTGTAGATCAAGGTATGTACTACTAATTAAAAATATAACACATTCAAACTTGAAAGGTTTTAATAATATAGATAATTGTTTTGTGGCCCGTGTAAAAATATTTATTTTTATTCTTCTTTCAAATTCAAAAAGCTATATAAATCGATTCCCGCGGATTTCCGCTTTGATTCTGGTTTTATAAATATACTTAGGGTTTTATATTAATTGTGATATATTCTTGTTTTGCAAGTTTTATCAATATTTTTTTGTTCTCAGCGATGTTCGGTCACCCGTAGACCACTTTTTGAAGTTTGGTGCCAAGATCCCGAAAAAATCCAAAGGTATATGCAGTTTTTAATTGGCTACTTGAGGTTATTGGTGTAGATCATCTATCTGAGAAAGAGGAGTTATCGGTGTTAAATAAAATTCGAAAATTTTCTTATAAAATTAGTGAAAAATGGGAAAACTGTCATATTTGTTTTTGATCGAAAAAACCGTACATCTTTGCTTTTTCTAGAACAAAAATTATATTCATAATCTCCGACTAGTTTCTAACAAAAACGGCCTCTCGACAATTTTCTGTTAGACAAAAGGTATTTGCGTAAAAAATAAAATAACCCTATCTACATGTCCTATGCATCTTTAGGAATGTAGATAATTTTATTTTATTTTCTCACGTAAAAACCGTTTGTCGGACAGAAAAATGTCAAGAGGCCGTTTTTGTTAGAAACTGGTCAGAGATTATGAAAATAATTTGTGTTCTAAAAAAAGCACTGGCGTACCCTTTTTTCAATCATATACAAATATGATATTTTTACTTTCAACACCCTGTATCTAAGAAACGATGCATTTCCGGACCTATGTTCATGGGAACTTTTTTGCTTCATTTCATCTAAGGAACATGTCCCTGAATTTTGTGGTAATATTAAAAGTAAATAAAAATATCTCCTATATACAGGGTGTTGTATATTGGGGATATTTTTTTATTGTTTTCTGGTAATACTGTTTTTGTGCTTAATTGGCCACTATTTGAATTCACTAATACTTACTATTAATATGCAATAATAACTTTGTCGGAATTTAATAAGAACATTTATGTCCACCTAGAACAGATAAAATGACCACACACCACACTACACTGTGTGCCGGTAAACGTTGCGTTCCCTATTGCGCATTGAAAGAAGATCCTATATTTTTATTAGTCCTTTAAATTCTAGTATTGAATATAAATAGAACATAGCGCAGTGTATAGAGAATATACAGAACATAGCGCAGTGTATAGAGTTTCCGACCACGAACCGATGATTCAGATGAGTTCGAATCCGGGTCAGGGCAAAAACTTTTTTATTTTATTCTCGTTTATATTCAGATTGTAAAGTATTAAATACTTGTTTTTTTTTTGAATCACCAGAATTATTATTCGAACTCTGAATCATCGGTTCGTGGTCGGAAACTCTACGCACTGCGCTATGGAGACATGTTCGATTTATATTCAATACTAGAATTTATAGGACTAAATTAATAAAAAAATATAGGATCTTCTTCCGATGCGCAGTAGTGAAAGCAACGGGTATCGGCAGCCAGACGGGCCGCATGCTGTTCCAGAGAGCATAGTAAAAGATATATCAAAGAGCCAGACGTCTTAAAATACTTTCTCGAAAACCGTAGCTAGCTCTTAGACTATTAGTTTTTGAAATACATGACAAAATTGAAAATGTCGCATTTTTCTACCCCCTTTCGTATCTCGGTTTCTTATAACTTTTCGAAATGTTGAAAACTGAGTGAGATGAGTCCCATAGAGTTTAAATCGGATACCTTTTATATTATACCTTTTTCCATTTGCAATGTTATTAACTTTATAAAAATATAACATACTCTACACTTATTTTCATAAACAAGGTAGAAAATACATTATTCAACTTTTTAACATAGGCGGCCGGTTTAAAATAGGTGATCAAAAGAATTGAATAATTTATACGAATTCAAATTTTGGTTATTGTCTATTCCACGCTAGTTTTTTTTGTGTAGAATTATTGCACAAGTGCATTAAAAATTTCAATAATGCATGTTATCTAAAAGATGCAGAAGTTTATTTTCAGTGCAGTTTATTAAGATGAAAAGCAAAACAAGATGAAAAGCAAAATTATCTGGTAAAAATTAATTAAATTAATTGATAGTACCCTTTTAAACTAAGGTTAATTATATTAAAAAGTTAAAAATTTTATTTTTTATCTTGTTTATGATATAATATAATCTATACTTATTTTCATGAACAAGATAATAAATACATTTTTTAACTTTTTAACTTTCAAAATATAATATTATTATATTTTTAGAAAGCTCGTGACAAGACAAATAAAATAAAAATATATTATACAGGGTGTCCTGTATATTATATATTTAAGAAAACATAACTTTGAATCATATTTCGGAAGATAGATAGATAGTTATAAGATAACCGCGATACAAAGGGGGTTGAATAATACAACATTTTCAAATTAGCCCTGTACTGCAGAAACCAAGTTAAATCTTTAATTTCATAAAAAAATGCAAAGGCAATGATGTAAAAACCGCATCCTTGAATCTCTACTCATAAACGACAAACCCCATAAAACACACGAATATGGGACACCCTGTACTTTGTAGTACCCAATTTGATTTACATTCTTATTACCATCAGTGCTAGAGATTATTATAGGATTTTTTAAATAATTAATTTAAATAAATTTTGACTTTAGCTTTAGTTTTTGCTTTGAAATAGATTAATAATTGAATAAAGGAATAAACCACTAAAGAATCGGATTATTGAAAGAATTTTTAGAAACAAGTTTTAATAAACATTTTTGTACAGGGTGGTCAAAATTGATCTGTGTTAACAGACAAACCTCATTTCCTGTCTAAATAGAGCAAAACCGACATATACGTCGCAAGCTCAATTTCTGAGACATGTTTAATGGCATTTAAAAATTCCGATCATTTAAAAAATTGTGTAAAGTCTTCTGTGTAGTCTTTTTGTCAGAAATAAAAAAACTATTTTTTTAAATGGAAATCATAGTGGGCTATGAACTTAAGAAAATATTGGCGTTTAACCTTTTCCAACGATATAAAATTATGGATATTTGATTCTAAAAATGAGAGAAATATTAAGAGCATATATCGAAACCGGGCCTAGATTTTGTACTGACCTATTTGCCTAATTATTTTTTTACAATTTAATATTGTATATTATTAATTATCTGCATCATTATACAATTTTGAAAAGGTAAATTAACAATATTATTAGTATGACTTATATTTGGTTGAATTTATTGAAACAATAAATATTTTGTTAGATAACAATTAAATTTAAGTGTAAAAATTACTCAAATGGTACAAAATACGAATAACTACTCCATTTAATAACTTTTTATATTTTTGTCGAATACTAAAGAGAGAGACAATCTTCTAATCCTAAAGAGAAATACTTCTGACACTAAAAAATACTAAGACTTGTATCACTATAATTTAAAAAGTATTATTTTTTTTACTAATCTTTTTTCTTTAAAGGTCAGAAACAATAAGTTGTCTCGTAGGTTCAATTACCCCTTTGATATAACCTTCAAATTTTTGACACCCCATCGCGGTCATATTAAACGAAGGGAGAAAATTAATCAACCCGAGAAAATGAATCCTTTTCTATTAATTAAAACGTCTTTTATTTTTGTTTCAGATCGTGCGTCATCAACTAGTCAATCAAAAAGAGTAGGAAATAATCGCCAAGTTCGTTCAACCGAAATTTGTCTGTGGATGAAAATGGCTATTAACCAATCAACATTATTCAATCAAGAAATCAGCACTTCGATACCCTCCAGATAGATCGATTGTCGCTGTTATGGATAACGAAAATTTTAAAAGTAAGTTTTTAAATCTGTATTGTAGGTTAAATGCCGAATGTAGAAAAAATTATAATAATTATAATAGATTTATTTTTGTATTTATATCAATAATGATTAGTTTAAATAGGAATATAATGAACAACGAAATGACATCTTTTTATCGAGCTATTTAAAACAGTTTTCGTAAACTAAACTCTCTTTGTTTACTATGATTACTCAAATGAACGGTTACTAGAGCTAAGCAATAATCAAGGTGTGAATTAAGGACAAGGGTAACATTTGACAGATGATCAATCGTAATTTAATAGTGGAACAATTTTTAAGTACAAATTACATGATTGGTACAGCGTTTCACATCAGAGATATTAGTGCCATTCATGCTTGCTATTTAATATATCGTTTACTATGCTCTCTGGAACAGCATGCTGCCCGTCTGGCTGCCGGTAAAAGTTGCGTTCCCTACTGCGCATTGAAAGAAGATGCTATATTTTTATTAGTCCTTTAAATTCTAGTATTGAATATAAACTCAGTGAGTCTCCATAGCGCAGCGCGTAGAGGTTCCGCCTATCAAGCGAGGAGTTAGAGTTCGAGACCGGGTCGGGGTAAAAACTTTTTTATTTTATTTTCGTTTTTATTCTGATAGTAAAGTATTAAATAATTCTGGTGATTAAAAAAAACAAATATTTAATACTTTACTGTCAGAATATAAACGAAAATAAAATAAAAAAGTTTTTGCCCTGACCTGGTCTCGAATCCTCGGTTTGTAGTCGGAACTCTACGCGCTCCGCTATGGAGACTTGTTCAATTTATATTCAATACTAGAATTTAACGGACTAAATTAAAAAAATAGGATTTCTTCCGATACGCCGTAGTGAACGCAACGTGTATCGGTAGCCAGATGGACCGCATGCTGTTCCAGAGAGCATAGTAAAAGATATATCAAAGAGCCAGCTTTCTTAAAATACTTTCTCGAAAACGTTGCTAATTCTTAGACTATTATTAACGTCAGAAGTATTAAAAGGATAAGTTTATTATAGGGTTATTAAAACTCGTTTTTTTAAGACGTTACAAAGACGACGAAACACATTTTGAACACCATCTTTGAAACTTTATCCAAATATAATGCGCTGTCCAGCGAATGAATATATAACTATAACACTTGTCTGCAATTTAAATTTGAAAGTAAATCGTTTTTTAATGACTAAATGACTTTCGATATTGTCTCTCGATATCTTCCCTTCTTTCAGTTACTTTACCCACTATGTCATAATTATATATGTGGTGAGTCTTAAATAAGTGCAAATATTTTTAGGGGTAGTATATTTCGACGTCAAAAACACGTCTATGAGATTTTTTTCACGAAAGAAAATGTGAAAATTTGGGGTGTTTTTAAAAAAATTGTTTTTTTTATCTTTAAATTAAAAAACATAATATAATAAAATGCCAAAGAAGAGCGTCACATCTCAAAAATCACAATTTTCAGGCGAGCCAATTTAAAATACTATACTTACTCAAAATGATAATAGTCTAAGGGTTATTACTTGGCATTCGCCATGCCGACAAACTAAACTAAGAAGTACCTTTTGGTTATGCTTTGCTCCTAACATAAAATAAGATTTGAATGATTTTTAGTTGGTATACCAATAAATCTCAAAAATGCAAGTTTTTGAGATGTGACGCTCTTCTTCTGCATTGACAAATATGGCAAGATAGGTAGTAGATAAAATTTAAAATTACACTTGAGGGTTGGAACCTTTGGTGTTACACAGCAAAATAAAATTACACTAAATCACCACAATACACCAAAACACTTTTACTTTTACACTGGACGCGCGTTTCGCTAACCATGTTAGCATCATCAGCAGATTATAAACTGAAGTTTATAATCATCTGCTAGATGATTATAAACTTCAGTTTATAATCAGCTGATGATGCAGCAGAGATGCATCTGTTTATGATCATCTGCTAGATGATTATAAACTTCAGTTTATAATATGCTGATGATGCTAACATGGTTAGCGAAACGCGCGTCCAGTGTAAAAGTAAAAGTGTTTTGGTGTATTGTGGTGATTTAGTGTAATTTTATTTTGCTAAAATTTAAAAGAAAGAAAAAATGAGTTATTTGAAGAACGGTAAAAATAAACTATGCTTCTTTTTCGAGATCTACCATCCCTGAAAATATTTACACTTATTTAAGACTCTATAATATAATAAATTAATTTTTGTCAAGAAAACTTTTGCGTATTTCCTCACTAGAAGATAGTCTACATAATAAAAAAGTTATTTCCTGTAAACCAACGCAGACCAATTATTTTTATAAACCCATTTACTTTTGTAAAACATTTTTTTTCAGACATTTCGATGTTACAAAACACTACTTTCGACGACACAGCCGACGAACTATGGGACAACTTCACGCACTTCCTCAAAGCCACCATCATGGGCAGTATTATCGTCGCCTCTATCCTTGGAAATCTACTCGTCATCGTTTCCGTCATGCGACACCGGCGTCTTCGTGTCATCACCAATTACTATGTAGTGTCCTTAGCTCTGGCTGATATGCTGGTAGCTATGTTTGCCATGAGTTTCAACTTCAGCGTTGAAGTGTTCGGTCGCTGGTTATTCAGTTACACCCTGTGTGACGTTTGGAATAGTCTAGATGTGTACTTTTCGACTGTGTCCATATTGCATTTGTGCGACATCAGTATTGATCGGTAAGTTTTAAACAACCAGGATATAGTAATGGAATGAAATTTAGTTATTTAATATCCCGAAGTAATGCTTATGTAATTTATCAACTAAAACACAAGTTTACTTTAATACACTAAAACATGTTTTGTTAATCATATTAGTACCACCAGACGATTCAAACTAAACTTATATTCACAAATTGACAATTTCGATAGACACTCGATTCAACACTCAATTCAACACTCGATTCATGGGAGAAACAATTTTGTTAACGGTCTATGTATTTTTCCAGCAATCGCAGAATATTTTAATATTAATAATTAATATATTATAAAGAAATCAGAAAATAATGCATTTCAGCAACTTTTTACTAATTTTCTTTATTCTATTAAGTGTAGTTTGCCGTTTGTTGATATATCCAGTTCAAATATAATTTGCATAGTAAATATATCTTATGTCTAATATTTATGTAAATTTTGTAAAAGGTAATAAATCTTTGGTCACAATAGCATATCTTCGAGTTGACATATACCATTATCCGGAAAAAAACTTTGCATTTTCAATCAACCGACTAATTTATTTTATTTACGACACGCAAGACAGTTATAACAATGGCTGAAAGGAATTACCTACTCTCTAAATTGCGAATGAAATAAATGGATTTGTAGATGATATTTCATTCAATTTCAAGCCCACATTCAATTTTCTATTAAAATACTGCCATTATTCCAGTTATAATTTTGGTGGATATGATTCTCCTTTTTATTATTTTTAACAACACTTGTTTTTCAAAATTGCTTTACGGTATTTTATTATAATTTAATATTATAATAATTAAAAATTACTTAAATAATAAATATATATTGTCAAAATTTAATCGACATTATCATTTTAATTAAGTTTGCGTTTTCTTGTATTAATATTTTTTTATTATTTTCATTGTCCTGCTTTTACCATATTACGGAATCGATGCTTACATTGCTTCTTTGTCCATAATGATTTAGAGATGATTCCAATTTCTGTAGATTTATGTTGTTCTTGACAGTAATGACTTCTAAGGTAACATATTTTTGCAACTGCAATAAAATATTTTTGCTACCTAGTTACTTTTCTGCCACCGAGTAGCTGAATCTTTTACGATTATATATGTTATTTATTATCATTATATATTTAGAATTGAGGTAGTATTCACTCTCAAACATAAATATAATCTAATCCTCGGCATTTATGATAAAAAAGTAGTAGTTTCTTCTAGAAATACTCAATGTCCAAAAGCAGCAAATAGCAAAATTTTCTTTATAACGATTAAAAAGTTTAGGTTTATCTATTTATATTGTAGATAGTAAGTCAGGCTCACTGATTGAGCCACAAATGCTCTACAAGTATAGAACAAAAACTGTTTTAGTTTTCTCAATATATAGCCCTGTTCCCAGAAGAATCCCTCACTAGTCAGCGCGTTTCTTATTGGTTGAAATGTGTAGAAACCAGACTAACAATCAGGTTTCTAGGCATTTTAACCACTGAGAAACGTGCTGACTAATCAGGGATTCTTCTGGGAACAGACCTTATGTAGATTCTAACAAATGTCACTATAACGCACATCGCTTATAAAAAAACTGATAAAAATCCTCCTCTTCGAGAGATACATTTCTTTCTTAGTGCGTTTTTAATACCATTCTTTTTTTTTCCTTACTTCCTGTTATACTCGTATTATCTCATTTTCAGTAATTCATCAATTTGTAGATAGTTACGTAAATAACGCTTAAGTTATCTGTGTATACGACGTAATGTAACTAGAGTCTAGTTAATATATATCGTGTTCTTAATATTTCTGTTTCTATTTCAGATACTACGCTATCTGTAAACCCTTAAAATATTCCCTCCACATGACTAAGAAAGTGGTGGCATTAATGTTGGTAAATAGCTGGGTAAGTCCCGCATTTCTTAGTTTTCTTCCAATCTTTATGGGTTGGTACACAACAGAAGCTCATCAAGAATTCAGACGACAACATCCCGACGAATGTGTTTTTGTCGTCAACAAAGCCTATGCTGTAATTAGCAGTAGCATCAGTTTTTGGATACCAGGATCTATCATGATTTATATGTATCTTCAGATATTCAAAGAAGCAAACAGGTAATCTTAAATCACATTTGTTTAAATGAAATAGCGTGAATGATGAATTTTACTTAGACAAGAAAAGGAGATGTTTAACCGACATGGGGCCGCATTACTTTTACATGCAAACAACACAAATGGTGATATGCTTTCCAACTCGGGAGGATCATCAAAAACGTTAACTTTAAATGAAATTAATCAGGATCTCCATCATACACCGACGAGAGAACGCAGCATAAGTAGGATGAAGAGAGAACACAAAGCAGCTAGGACACTGGGCATTATCATGGGTAAATTTAATAATACTTGTTCTGCTATATTGTGAAACAAAAATTTTGTCATTTTTAAACGTGACTAACCTTGCATCTGAACCAAGTGCGAGAATAAATTATGTAAATGCTATGCTAAAGGATGTATTGTAAGAAGTTTAGAATGGATAATTTTTTGTCGGAAATGTGTGGGTATTTCGCCACTAAAAGAAACTTAAAAATGTAGGTTTGTAGTAAAAATGTACGTATTTTCGTATTTTCACTAAAATACCACTGAGTTAATATTAATCAACAAACAAAAACTGTTTTTGTTCTCGTTAGCATTGTGCTTTACTGACAAATATAACTCGCACAAAAAAATGTTTGAAACTAAAGGAATTTCGAACTTCCATTGTCAATAAATATCCCTTTAAACGTTAAGTATTAAGCGTTAAGTATCTCTGTTGGTTAAGCAATTTTTTTTGTGTTGTGAGCTCCTGAGTAGTATTGTACGCTTTATAAAAAGAAATAAATGGTTTTGTTTCAGTGACGAAATACTCAGTTTTTCTTGTGTTGAACCGGTCACAAACATACAGGTTGTTAATTTGTTTATTACTCGCGGCAAGAGCTTTAGGGTTGAAATATGGCAACCTCGGCCCGCTCGTCGATAGACGACGCGACGGGACGAGTCGGCAGAAAACCCTATAAGTGCATGCGTTCTCAATAGGCAGTGTTGGCATTCTGTTCCCCTATAAGTAACTGTCTAGTTAACAATCTGTATAGGCATTAACTGAAGGCTTATTAGTTACAAACCCTACATTTACTTATTCAATAAACAATCTGAGTCTTAAAAAAGTGCAAATATTTTCAGGGCTGGTAGATCCCGAGAAAAGAGTCATATTTCCTCTTTACCAGTCTTCAAATAAGTCCAAAATAATCGAGTTATTCAAGTTTGAAAAATAAAAAATAAATATTTATTTAAAAAAAAATTGAGAGAAACCGGATTTTTTTCTGTATTTACATCCCTTTTAGTGCCGCATATTATTATAAATCCGTTACTATGGTAATATCAGAAATTAAGAAACTATACCGTGGGAACATTTATGGTAGACAGGCAGTTCGAAAAAGTTTCAACGATATTTTCATGTTTTTTTTAATTTGCTCTACAACGCTATAGAGAATATTGGAAATGTATTAACGGGGATTAAAATTATGGATTAAATGGGGGGTCTCAAAATGTTAATAATATAAAAGTATTTCCTCTTGTAAAAAAAATCCGGAGACATACTATATAAAAAACTAACTAATTAATCAATCAGTTCATTCTTTCTCTCTTTTCTTCGCGGAGGAATTACAAGTTGACATTTATCACCGTTCGTACTCAGGGAACATTCCCCAATTCTCGAACATTTTACAACACTAATTTCAACCCACAATGCTACTAACTGCAGACTATATGATTAATTTGACATTTTTTTCAGGAATTTTCATTCTCTGCTGGCTACCTTTTTTCCTCTGGTACGACAGCGTCTCCCTCTGCACGACATGCGAATGCCCCCACTTGGTAGTCGCCATCCTCTTCTGGATCGGCTACTTCAACTCCACCCTGAACCCGCTCATCTACGCCTACTTCAACAAAGACTTCCGAGAAGCGTTCAAGAACACCCTGCAGTGCGCCTTCTGCTCGCTGTGTCAGCGTCCACCCTCCGACCTCAACTACGTGGACAACCGACGTCCGTCGATCAGGTACGAGGACAGGACGCGCAGTGTCTACTCCGAAACATACTTGAAACATGTGGACAGGAGGTGTTCGGACTTTGGGTCGACGCTCTGAGTGGATCTCACTAGTAGCCGATTGACAACGACGAGTTTCTGATTAGAGACGTTTGTGTAAGAGGTTAGTCTGGAAAAAGTAAGATTCTAAATGGTTTATTGTTATTTTTTTAATATAATGACTACTTAGCTGTTTTTTTTTTATTAAATTACAATGAGTCAAGACAGATTTCGATAGATAACATTCAAAAAATGAGGGAAAATAAAATTTGCCTGTGAAATAAAATGATAGAACGACTGTCGGGAACTATTAGAGATTATCTCGTTGGACAGACTATACTTTCTTTATTATGGAACTTAACAAATACATAAAACAGAAATATTATAGCAGTATTTAATTTCAGATACTTACGTGAGTAATTACTAAATATTTGAGAAAATATTCTTTACTGGTCGTCATTAAATTATTATTTTACATTTAATTTTTGAGCAATGGAATAGAAATAATTCACACTTTTTATACGAGTTTTTATTTTCACAATTTTATATTGCTTAATAGTCCAATTAAATATATATTTCATAAATATTAAATATATATTTAATATTTCATAAATTTGAAATTTAAATTAATATTTTGGATATTAATTAAACATTTGTTATTAAAATAAATTTGATGTATTAAAATTATAATAAATATAGTTGCTTTAGCTTTATAATGTTTTTAAATGGAAATGAGGTATTTTACAAGTTTTCCTTGTTTCCTTTACTGCTGTAGAAAAAGTCAAATAAAACTTTGTATTTGTACAATCCTTTAGGGTGACAGTAGTGATATAAGGTTCAATTTCTGAAATCCCTCTAGTAGCACTGAAGGACGAACAAAAACAAAACAACATAAAGGTTTTTTAAATTAAAAATGAAAATAAAATAAATAAAATTAATCAGCCTAAAAATTGATCTTTCCATTGTGGACAGTCCTAATTTTACTAACGACTTAGTTTTGAAAATAAATAAAGATATGTTTTGTTGGTTGTTTATTCGAAAAAGTTTAGTTATTCAAATACACTTTCATCGAAAATTACTTTTCCAAACTATGAGTTTTCAGATAGTTTACATAACAACTTTAAAATATATTTTCTATGGAACCGGAAGAATTTGTTAGCAGCTGCAAAGTACGTCGTTATATTTCACTCTACTAAACTTGGTATTGCTTTCAAACTACTTATTTATTCGTTGAGATGTTATTATTTTTCTAAGAAATGTTCGTATAAGTTGATTTTCAGTTGAAATAAATGAAAATATAAAAACAGCCAAAAAGAATCTTTACATTTCAAACTGACCTTTTGATCGGCTACTAGTCCTACTATTGCCAAAGTTAACAAATAATGGTGCTGTTACTGTAAGATTCAATCTTTTTAACTAGTATATACCCACTACTCTAAATCTCATGCCGTCAAAATATCACGGTGGTAACATGGATTTGAAGGTAAGGGTATATTTACATAAAGTCGTGTACAAAAGTGATAGTTAATCATAATTTTTAGTCAGTTTTTTAGATGAATAGTTTTTGATACTTCTGAGGCAAAGAAGTTTGTACATAGTTTGCCAAAAAAGCGTAATGCTATTTACTAATGATGTAATTGATATACATAGTTTTATATATGTGTTATTTGTTGACGTTTTCAATAATTTTGCATTAAATATTATTTTTTGTTTAGTTTTATTAATTCGTTGTATCCTAACAACTTATGTAGTAAGTTGTGATTTTCATTCAATATAAATTGTATATAGTCATATTTCCATTATTCGATACATATTGCTGCAATTTTTAAAATAGTTACTTAATTATTTAAAACCTAACATTTTAACTTAAGTTATAATTTATTTGGAATATGTTGGCCTAAAATAATACAACGTGCTATTTATTTATTATAACCAACGAGAATGTGTGGACTTTTTCTAATTTAAATAAACTATATAACTAAAGTAATAATACTTAAGAATAATAAAAGAAGAGGAGAAAAGAGAATTAACTGAATTATAATTTCTAACTCACGGTTTATATATTATTTAAAAATATTTAATTATACTTTGAGTTTTTTTATTTATTTAACATTAATTTTAACTAATTTTTGTAGTACTCTTTATTTAAGGATTTATTTTTAGCTCATTTTATAATCTACATTATTGAGGACACGTTACATACAAGTAAGTTAATAATTTTCATCAAAATCAGTTTACTTTTAACATGACAAATTCAATATACTATTCTTACACTAAGTGAATAATTATATCAACTATGAGTAAGAAATTTATACAAGATGTGTTACATTTTTTAGTTTTAAATTCATGACAAACATTTAATATTTAATAATTCATGATAAGCGACTTTTTTATTAATTCGAAATTGAAAAGACTGGATATACAAGTTTAGGTCGTTATAGTTAATTCGTCATCTTTAGTATTTGTTTTTTTAGTAGTACTAACTTACAGAAGATTTTTGACAAAAACTAGTTCTTTTCTGTTTGATGATAAGTTTTTGTTAATTTTATCTTAACACAAAACTAACAAATTGTAGCGAGATACAATCACTAATTAGATATGAAAATAAACGTAAAATTTGTATATTAGGTAAATTTAGTAAAAAAAATATTTTGACCAAAGTGTAGTTTAAAAACAATGAAGCAATAATGTATAATAATGTTCTTAATAAAACTATACCATGTAATATCAAGAGATATATTTGTAAAAGACTTTGTAAGTTATTTTTGAGAAGTTTAAATAGGTAGAAATTTTCATTTTATATTATTGTTGAACGGTAATAAAAAAACAGGACCATTCTTTCCAAATATTTTTTATTTGCTATTAAAAACTAACTCAAATAGTATGTAGTTTTTCAAACATATTCGAATTGTATACCAACTCTACCTAGCCTAACTTTTAATATTTTATAACTTAAAAGCCTTTTAGTAATATATTAATATGGTATTCTGTTAAGTAAGAGCCCGTTACATCGAATGTCCTTTCCTATTACATGTTCATTAAGTTCGAATCGTTATGTAATATAATTTCTTAAAAAGCATTCGTCTTCCTTAAGATTTAAAGCGGTGTTCATATAATATTAATGGTGGAAAATGTTTTCGACGATATAAAGTTTTCATTAAGTTAGATCAAAAAATATTTGTGTAGATTATCAAAAGAAAAACATTTTTATGAAACAGAGATGGGCAGTTGGCAAAAATTGGCCTTTTGTTCAATAATGCGCGAAAAAAATTGTTTAAAAAATCCGTGTTTAAAAATTAGAGTTAAAGTAGTAAAAATATTCAGAAAGTTTTTCACAAAATTATCAATAAATTTAAAATTTTATCATTTTGAGCCGGCTACTCACACGTCAATCTACAGGTGCCAATATGTAGGGTCCCTGTAGTTTGCCACGTATGTAGTTTTGACCCAATTTTTAACAGTCTTCCTAAACTAGCTAAATTGGAATTTCGACCGATTCCCTGTTATTATTTGCGTTAATAATAATATTGATAACCCAAACCAACTAATTTTTATACGTCTTGATAAAGCTATTATGCTATTTCACAAAAGATCACCAACATACTGCTAAATTGTGATACGTAGAGATTGCGTTAAAAATTGTCATGTGAGTAGACGGGTTTTTTTCTTGAGTTGTTTAAAATATTAAACAACAACAGATAATACAATTTTGTTAATACAAAGGAGGTAATTTGTTGGATATATTATTTAGAAATATTTTAATATAAATATTAATCTAATAGCTATTTTTTTTAATTTCTATATGCAATTTGAACAAGATAAAAGAAACGTTAAAACAAAGCGACTACTACTTGGAATTGTTTCATTTAAAACAAAAAATTATATTATCTTGGCAAGTTGTCACAAACATGATATTATAAATTTTAGTTATTTTTGAAATTTAGACGATAAATCGATATTCTAAGCAATTATTTTCTCCCATTCTTTTCAATATATACATTATCCATAGTTAAAGAGCTACTCTATAATTGGTCGCACAACATTTACCACATAATATGTTCATTTTTTATAATTATTTATACTGTCTTTTATAAATGGACAATTCCAGAATATTAAAAAATGTGTTTTACCAACTTTTTAGTGGCTCCTGTATTAAACTGATGAGTTGCTATTAACATAAGAAGCATAGGACCTGTGGTTTCTTACTCTTTATTAAAATGATCATAAAAACAACATCAAGTTACCTTTAAAATGTCAGTCGATAAAATTTTGTGTTAAAATTAATAATAACCCTCATCGATTAGCTTTTTTAAGATGTTTGTTTGGAACATTGTTTTATTTTTCAATCATACAGATTTATATGCAAATAAATAAACATGTGTATGAAAATATCTGCAGAATATTTAAACGAATTTATTATGTTAATATGTTATCTTTTTAAAATGTTTTTAATTTGTATTGAAACTAATAGAGACTTTTTAACTAATCGAATGTGCCATCTAATATTGATCATGCAGTATTCTAGCAATAGTGAGCACCGTATCTATTTATAATAATTAATTTACTCTAGTGGGGTAACGCATACGCGTAAGATATACTATTCACACCATAGAAATTGAATTTTCAGCATATGCCTTACTATATCTAGAAATTCATATATTCGTATCAAATCTTTTGTAAACACCGGTAATTTTATATTTTTGGACGACCGTTTGTATTCTGCTCATCTCTGCAAACTTTTTGTTAATAAAAAATGTCTTAAAAGTAAAATCTGTAACTACTGTTAAAATAAGTGTTTTAAATGTTCTATATAAGTCAATGTTTCATGTACAAAAATATCCGCAGACTATCAAACATTAATACTAATTAATTTAAATGTTGCGTAGAATTATATATTTACGTAACTTCGACATCTGGTTTTTACATTTTGTTTGGTAATAATGTATACACAAGAGTATACACAATAAAAAAATTTAAAAGCATATAGGCAAAGTATTAGTTAAAGTCACGCATTTGATTAAAGCTCATTTAATTTAAAATTGCAATTTAGTTAATGTATTTTATTAATAATGAAAATGTATTTTCGAAAGTTTTTTATACCAATTAGTAATTTCAAACAAATAATTTGAATATCAAATGCAAATACAATCATATGCCTATACTTGTATTAAGAAAAACATGCAAATAGAATTATTTTTATTTCTATACAAGGTGTCCCAGAAATAAGTGCAAGTATTTTAACTGGTAGTATCGTCCAACCACAGAAACATGCCTATGAGGTTTTTTTCGCGAAAAAAATTTTTGGATTTTTTTTTTAGTTTTTAGTTAAAAACACAATTTCTTGATAATATGACAACATAGGTAGTAGATTAAATTTACAAGAAAGAAAATCCAAAAAAAGATCCAGTAATTCTCAAAATTTGAGCAAAAAATCATTTTTTTGGAAATTTTCAAAGTAAAATAACTCCGGTATTTTGAACTTATTTGAAAAATGATAAAGAGAAAATATGTTTTTTTTTATCGAGATCTGCCACCCCTTAAAATACTTACAC